CTGCTCAAGAAAGCTCAGCGGTATCGCACGCCGCAACAAAAAAAGCAAGCTTGCTTGTCGCAGAAAAGCAAAGCTCTCACAACAACGAGAGATAAATGGCACAATAATGAGAGATAAATGGATAGTAGCTACAGTTACTTCGTTGAATGAGCGCATTTCCCTGCGTGCAGCTGCTGTGTGCTGTGTGGTGTGAAGCTGTGGAGGTTCCGTGGAGTATTTATCGATTTATCGTATCGATATCGAAATATCGAAATATCGAAAAGTTCAAATGTTTTCGATATCCGATATCGATACGATATGTCGAAAATATCGATACGATATCCAACACTAGCGTCCATACGAACACCCTTCGGCATGTTCTTGTGGAGCCCACCAAGCAGGGGTTGCATAGGTCGTGACCCCCCCCAGAGCCGAATGTGGGCGTGTTTCATCAATTTTTCAACGGCACGTCAGTGTGCCGAACTAGCGGATTCGGAGACCTGGACGTTTTCGTTGTATTTTCTTGACTGCAACCAAATACCGCTGCGGTGTCTCCATCCGTGGATACGCAAGAATCCGGGCGATTAGGCCTTACACATGCATGTGGTGTTGTCTTTCAATAACCGTGATTGCTCCGCCGGATGCCCTCCAAACACCAGCCCTCGCATTGAAAGCATCAACAGCATCAGCACGAGGAGTTCTGGTGCGTGGCTCGCCAATTTCGGCCGCACCTCTCGCCCTCTCCCCTCTGTAGAAAGAAAAAGCCACGTGTTCTACCGAAACTAGGGTGTCACTGCTCCTCTTGTGTTCCTGGCCCTGCGACCTGGCGTCGGGGTCATCATTATTTGCACAATATACGAGTAACCCCGCCCCCCCCCCCGCCCACGTGCATCCTCCCCTACATAGTCTGCGAGTGCATTATACCACAACGGAGCAGCATGCCATTCAGGCTTCCATCGCGCCCCCGCTCTTGTAGTGAGTGTGTCTTTTGTTCCGCAAGCGTTAACATTGAGTGGACGCGGCGCGGGAAGTGTATTCCAGCATCGCTCACATCCAAATCTGATCGCCGTTTGGATTCTGGCAAGTACAGCGATAAAAAACGACCAGACAAAATAACAGGACGCGCGCCTACAGCAGTAGTATTGGTCGTGTGTGTCCTTCGGAACGTTTATTCATTCCCAACACAAGAGTCAGGGGGGCTTGGAAGCTTCGAGGTTGTCGCCCATTCTGACCCACCAGTTGTTTCCTCTCTTGCTTGTGAGAATAATCCCCGTGACATGGAAGAAACACTACCCGTTAGAGGAATATCAACAGTTGGGAGCGGGTGTGGTGTTTTTTCTCTTTGCAGCAGTGATGGTGATGGTTGGTGGGTGTTCGCACATCACTGCTGCAATGAGAAAATAACATCACACCAGTCCC